GGGTCTCCTGAATATAGCACACGAATGGGTCTTGAATCTTTCCAATTTATCCATCTGTGTCTTTTGATTGAGGCCCATTTACATTTAAGGTTAATACTGTTATGTGTGAATTTAATCCTGCCATTCTGATGCTAGCTAGTTGTTTTGCCCATTAGTTGATGCAATTTCTTCATACTGTTGATGGTCTTTACAGTTTGGCTTGTTTTTGCAGTCGCTGATACTGGTTGTTCCTTTCCATGTTTAGTGTTTCTTTCAGGAGCTCTTGTAAGGCAGGCCTTGTGGTAATGAAATCTCTCAGCAGTTGCTTGTCTGTAAAAGATTTTATTTCTCCTTCACTCATGAAGCTTAGTTTGGCTGGATATGAAATTCTGGGTTGAAAATTCTTTTTTTTTTTAAGGAGGTTGAATATTGGCCCCCCCTGTCTTCTGGGTTTTAGGGTTTCTACCAAGAGATCTGCTGTGAGTCTGATGGGCTTCCCTTTGTGGGTAACCCCACCTTTTTGTCTGGCTGCTCTTAGCATTTTTTCCTGATTCTGATGATTATGTGCCTTGTGGTTGCTTTTCTCAAGAAATATCTTTGCAGTGTTCTCTTTGTTTCCTGAATTTGAATGTTGGGTTGCCTTGCTAGGATGGGGAATTTCTCCTGGATAATATCCTGAAGAGTGTATTCCAACTTGGTTTCATTATCACCGTCAGATTCAAGTATACCGATCAAACGTAGATTTGGTCTTTTCATATAATCCCATATTTCTTGGAGGCTTTGTTCATTTTTTTGCACTCTTTTTTCTCTAATCTTGCCTTCTCACTTTATTTCATTGAATTGATCTTCAATCTCTGATATCCTTTCTTCCACTTGATCAATTCATCCATTGAAACTTGTATATGCTTCACAAAGCTCTCCTGCTGTCTTTTTAAGCTCTATCAACTTACTTATGTTCTTCTCTATGCTGGATACTCTAGTTAGCATTTCGTCTAGCCTCTTTTCAAGGTTCTTTGTTTCCTTGCATTGGGTTAGAACACGTTCCTTAAGCTCAGAGAAGTTTGTTATTATCCACCTTCTGAAGCCTGCTTCTGTCAATTCATCAAACTCATTCTCCATCCAGTTTTGTTCCCTTGCTGGTGAGGAGTTATGATCCCTTGGAGGAGAAGAGGTGTTCTGGGTTTTGTTGATTTTATCCTTTTTGCACTGGTTTCTTCCCATCTTAATGGATTTATCTACCTTTGGTCTTTGAAGTTGGTGATTTTGGATGGGGTCTCTGCGTGGACGTCCTTTCTGTTGATGTTGAAGCTATTTCTTTCTTCTTTTTTGTTTTCCTTCTAACAGTTAGGTTCCTCTGCTGCAGGTCTGCTTGAGGGCCATTCCAGACCCCTCCTGCCTGGGAATCACCTGTGGGGACTGCAGAACAGCAAAGATTGCTGCCTGTTCCTTCCTCTGGTAGCTTCATCCCAGAAGGGTACCAGCCAGTTTTCAGCCAGAACTCTCCCATATATGGTGTCTCTTAAGATAAATGGAGTCAGGGAGCCACTTAAGCAGGCAGTCCATCCCTTATCAGAGCTCCAATGCTGTGCTGGGATATCCATTGCTCCCTTTACAACTGCTGGGTAGGGATGTTTAAGTCTGTTGAAGCATAACCCACAACTGCCCCTTTTCCCAGGTACTCTGTCCCAGGACGGTGGGGACTTTATTTATAAGTCCCTGACTGGCTACTGCCTTTTTTCAGAGGTGCCCTGCCCAGCAAGAAGCGAGTCTTGTAGCAGTCTGCCTGTAGAGGCCTTGCTGAGCTGCCACGGACTCTCCCCAGTTCCTGTGTAAACTTCCCAGTGACTTTGTTTACACAAGCGAATTTAGAACTGCCTACCCAAGCCTCAGTAATGGCGGATGCCCCTCCCTGCACCGAGCTCAAATGTCCCAGGTCCAGCTCAGACTGCTGTGCTGGCTATGAGAATGTCAACCCAGCCAGTCTTGGCTTTCTGGTCTTCATGGGGGTGGGACCTGCCAAGCCAGATTGCTTGGTTCCCTGGCTTCAGCCCCCTTGTTTTCAGGGGAATGAGTGATGCTGTTTTGCTACTCTCCTAGGTGCCACTGGGGTATGATAAAAGGTCTCCTCATTTTCATGTTTTACTGGGTCTTGCAAATTACATAACCTGTTCTGGCAGCAAGCCTGTGAATCATAATGCCACTGAAACTGGTTCAACTTTAGTTTTTAGAATTTTGTTACAATCTTTGTATTGTTATATACAAAAATAAAATGAATTTCTTAATGCTTTTCTTTCTAAATATCTGGTACTCTTTCTCAGGTCAAAGCAAAATACATTGAAGTTTCTTCATTAATTAGAATAGGTATTATGTTCCCTTTTGAGTCAGAGAGCAGTAACTGCTAATTTAAATGGGTTTGAGTTCTAAAAATTCTTAAATTTTTGTTTTTCTATGGGGCATCTTATAAAAAGGCCAGGCCCCTTAACTACCTAAGAGTTTGGAACCACAGGATGGGACATTTGGATGGTGGACTCAGTTTGTATTCTTTCTATTTGAATCTTATTCTTTTCATATCTTTAACACCTGTAACAGGATAAAGTAAAATAAAAATTTTTGTACTGTTATGTGTTGAGTTGTGTTCCATGAAAAAAACATTGAAGTTCTAACTCCCAGTACCTGTGAATATAATTTTATTTGGAAATAATGTCTCTGCACATGATCAGGTTAAAATGAGATCATTGGATAGTCCTAATCCAATATGCTTACATAAAGGGGAAATTCGGACACACAGAGAGATTAGGGAAGAAAGTGTGACAGCACAGGGAGAATGCCTTCTACCAGCCAAGGAAAACCTGAGGCTACCAGAAATTAGAACAGAGGCATGGAACAGATTCTTCCTCATAGCATACAGGAACCAAACATGCCAATACCTGACTTCAGACTTTCCTCCTCCAGAACTGTAAGACAATCAATTTCTGTTGTTGAAGCTACTCAGTTTGTAGTAATTTGTATGGCAGCTCAGCAAACTAATAGAGCTATTGAAATTGAAGAGCAGAAATGTATTAGAACAAATTCTGGGATAAATTACAGGGCTTGTTTTCTTCTCCATTGCTCGCCCTTCTTACACATAACATCTTTGTTTCCTCATTCCACCCTCAGTGGATTTTGCTTGGGTTATCATGAAGGTAACTTCCAGGAGGTAACTTGATGTAATAACTTTCAGAATGTGATCTACCTACTGCCTTCACTAAAGTTATGAGGCATGATTGTTTAAAATGCAGGTTTCGGAGTCTGAGAGCAGAACTACAGAATTAGATTCTTTGGGGAAGGAAAGCCCAGAAATCTGCATTTTTTAAAAGTTCTCCAGGTGTTAAAGTTTGGAAATCACTGAAGGAATCTTTGACTGGTTAGCTAGTGCCACAATAGGAAATAATTCACAGACAGTGACAACCTGCCCCTTCTCCTGGGTACATTTCTATCCTGGAGTTAAATGGGAAAGAGACCCCCTACCCACAAAAAAGCTACTTGGTACAAGTTCCAGCATAGAGGAGAAACTTTATTCTGCCTTGTCAGAAGCAACAAAGGAATTTCTGAAACCAGAACTTTCCTATAAGTTTATGCCTAAACCCTAATATTCTCCAGAAGAAAGAAAAGTGATCAAATAGTTGAACTGTTTATTATGGTAATTTTAAAAATTTCATTATTATTATACTTTAAGTTGTGAGATACATGTGCCGAATGGGCAGGTTTGTTACATAGGAATACAAGTGCCATGGTTGGCTGTATCCATCAACCCGTCATCTATATTAGGTATTTCTCTTAATGCTATCCCTCCCTCAGCCCCTCAGCCCGGCAGGTCCCAGTGTGTGACATTCCCCTTCCTGTGTCCATGTGTTCTGATTGTTCAACTCCCACTTGTGAATGAGAACATGCAGTGTTTTCTTTTCTGTTCTTGTGTCAGTTTGCTGAAAATGATGGTTTCCACCTTCATCCATGTCCCTGCAAAGGACATGAACTCACCTTTTGTATGGCTGCATAGTAGTCCATGGTGTATACGTGCCACATTTTCTTCATCCAGTCTATCATTGATGGGTATTCAGGTTGGTTCCAGGTCTTTGCAATTGTGAACAGTGCTGCAATAAACACACGTGTGCATGTGTTTGACAAATGGGACCTAATCAAACTAAAGAGTTTCTGCACAGCCAAAGAAACTATCATCAGAGTGAATAAGTAACCTATAAAATTGGAGAAAATTTTTGCAATCTGTAGATCTGACAAAGGGCTAATATCTAGAATCTACAAATAACTTAAACAAATTTACAAGAAAAAACACAAACAACCCCATCAAAAAGTGGGCAATGGATATGAACAGACATGTCTCAAAAGTATGAGGCCAACAAACATAGGGAAAAAAGCTCATCATCACTTGTCATTAGAGAAATGTAAATCAAAACCACAATGAGATGCCATCATCATCATCATCATCATCACCAGTTAGAATGGAGACAACAGTTGTGGAAGACAGTATGGTGATTCCTCAAGAATCTAGAACCAGAAATACCATTTGACTCTGCAATTCCATTACCATAATTATGGTAAATTTTTACCTTACCCTTTACTACAGAAAACCAGGTTATACACGAAGAGCTTGTTAGCTAGACTTGCCTTCTTAAAACTACTTCAGGGAGGAAAAGAACTACTACACAGCATAAAAAATTGACTTTTTGCTGCTCCAAAACTCAGTAGGACCTGCCTTGGATAGGCTAGAAAATTCAAGGCTTGAAACCATTCTGTTTACCCCTTGCTAGAGTACTCTTATGTGGTGCGTTAAGTTCATAATACCTAAGAAAAATTACTGTACCTTAAAAGGTGGGGAACAAAATCCAAGATGGAATGAGGCATGTATAGAAAGGATCAGGCTGTGAAGTCATAAACGCCTTGTTTGGGCGGAATTTGGAAGTCTCTAGGCAAGCTTGGAATTCCCCAAAATTTCTACTGGGAAGTGGTTTAAACTCTGACATGATTTTCATCTTATTTGTAACACAAAAGGTGATGCTGGAATTCCACTCTAGATCTACCTCCTCAGTTAAAAGGGCAGAACAGGCTGGGCACCGTGGCTCAAGCCTGTAATCACAGAACTCTGGGAGGCCGAGGTGGGTGGATCATGAGGTCAAGCCATCGAGACCATCCTGGTCAACATGGTGAAACCCTGTCTCTACTAAAAATACAAAAAAATTAGCTGGGCATGGTGGCGCGTGCCTGTAATCCCAAGTACTCAGGAGGCTGAGGCAGGAGAATTGCCTGAACCCAGGAAGCGGAAGTTGCGGTGAGCCGAGATCGTGCCATTGCACTCCAGCCTGGATAACAAGAACGAAATTCCGTCTCAAAAAAAAAAAAAAAGGCAGAACATAGCATTTTTTCTTTATTTCTCCTAAAACAAAAACAAAATAGGATATATGTGCAGAACGTGCAGGTTTGTTACATAGGTATATGTGTGCCATGGTGGTTTGCTGCAACTATTGACCTGTCCTCTAATTTCCTTCTCCTCACCCCCCAACCCCCATCAGACCCTGGTGTGTGATGTTCCCCTCCCTGTGTCCATGTGTTCTCATTGTTCAGCTCCCACTAATGAGTGAGAACATGCAGTATCTGGTTTTCTGTTTCTGTGTTAGTTTGCTGAGGATGATGGCTTCCAGTTTCATCCATGTCCCTGCAAAGGACATAATTTCATTCCTTTTTGTGGCTGCAAAGTATGACATTGTGTGTACGTACCGCATTTTCTTTCCAGTCTATCATTGATAGGCATTTGGATTGGTTCCATGTCTTTGTTATTGTAAACAGTGCTGCAGTAAACATATGGGTGCATGTGTCTTTATAGTAGAATGATTTATATTGCTTTGAGTATATATCCAGCAATGGGATTGTTGGGTCAAATGGGATTTCTGGTTCTAGATCCTTGAGGAATCACCACACTGTCTTCCATAATGGTTGAACTAATTTACACTCCCATCAACAGTGTAAAGGTGTTCCTATTTCTCCCCAGCCTAACCAGCATCTGTTGTTTCCTGACTTTTTAATAATCTCCATTTTGACTGGCATGAGATCTACCCAAAGAAAATAGTATTTCTGAGAACGTATTTGTCTTCCTGGGATCAGCTACACCATCTTTGGAGTCTGGTGCAATGGCATATTTGTTTTCAGGTTAAAACCTCAGGTTACTTGCCTGAGGAAAGGGAATTTTAGGGCCTCTGGTTGAGAGATATTTATTAACATGTGACATAAGATTTTGGCTGAGCATTCCAAGGAAATGAATCTTTTGTTGAGAACACAGCTTCTTTATTTAATCCTGTTTTCTAATTCAGAGATAATATCTTCTCTTCTCCTTTCTCCCTTTTTAGGTAAAAAGTCAAGTGTAAGATAGAAATGAATCTAAATCAAATTCAATTTTCACATTATAACAGCTTGAGCAAATTAGACCATTGGGTTATTCTCCACCACTAGTCCTAGATATGAAATCTTAATATGTTGTTTGTTTATACCTTTTTCCTTTGATTCAAATTCCTCAATGCTTTACTATATTATACTTTAGTATAGTGAATTTCTAATCATCTTTTCAATGCTCAAGTTCAAGAAGTAAATGTTTGAAAACTATTCCCTGGCACTTTCCATCTCCCATCTCAGCCCTAGGGTCTCACACAGTTGTGGTGGTATGGGGCATGCATTTGCCTGTGTGCATGTACATATGTGTCACATGTGCCTGTGCATGTGTGCATGTGCCCGTGTTTGAGGATTGGAGGGAGTGAAAAGGTTACTGTTTGTTTACCTGAGGAGTATCCATTCAAATTTATGCTAAAGGATTTTTTCTCTCTCAATTTCATTTTAATTATTTAGACTTGTAAAATAATTTTAATTTTTACCCAAAACATATGACTTTACATGATTAACCCTTTTGATACATTTGAAAAATAGAGACATTTGTACAGAAAAGGAAGAGAACAGAAACTATTCAGTTTTTCAATTCAAGTTTCAAGAAAAATTTTCAGATTAAACAGGTAGAAATAACTCCAGGTACTTTCTTCTTAAACAGTTCAATATTTCAACCATATCAATTTTATATGGGCTTTTAACTTAGTTAAATACATAATATATCATTATTTATTAGAATAATACTTTATGTAAGATTAGATTTTGGTCCTAAATGCCATGATTCTTGTTTTAAAGGAAAGTTTTCCAACAGCACCAACTATTCCATAAACTGACTTATAGTTTTTATTTTTTATTCCAATTTGCTTAGATTTAATGAACAAACATCACAACTGTCTTTTATTACCACCGAATATAAGCAATCGGTATTTTACAATGGAGAAATGTATAGCATTTAACAGTATATTTCACAGCATATATATATATACTCTATAACCATATTATCATTGGACTGACCAAGATATGGGATGGGTTTTTGTATACAGACAAATTTTCATTAGACAATTGAGAAATAAAGAGAGAAAAATAAATGTGAGGAATGAAGTTTATGTACATAAAACAATTTTTAATATCAAAATTTGTCAATCATAATACCATTTAAAAGAATATGATGAAAGTGTTGCCTATTTGGAATAAAATTAGTATTGTTTGCCTTAGGAAAATCAACAATTCAGTAGCTTGTCTTAATGTGGAAGCAAAACTAGGAGGCTTGGTCATTATTCATAAGGTACCAGGAAAAAACTACTAGTTCATTTAAAAATAAACTAGGTTAAATGTAAAATGATAGGCCATAAATGAGTACCAAACTCTCCTCCCCTGAAAGAAATGGCCGTATGTTGTGTTATTTCAGATAATTCTGCTATTCCAGTGAAAAGACACTCCAATCTTACCGAAAATAACAAGCCAATAAATATACTGAATCAAACCACAACAACAACATTTAAAAAGCAGCAACAAAATTCTGTGACACTTAGTTTAGTACCGAAACTCCAGTTAGAAACGCTAAACAATTGCTTGTGTACAACACCACAACAGGGCACTGAGTGCAAGTTTCTTTCTGGCAGCCACCTAGAAAGAACTGAAGTATATGTATGCTGTTGCTTGCTCACTAACGTCACAAATACGGATGTCCAATGCCACTATTCAGGTCTTTTGGCTGAATATCACTCTTGGGAAAGACAGACTCTGGACTTTCTTCCTAACAAGCAGTTTCCCATTAACAAGTTCTGTTTTATAGTGAACTAGAAAGAAAATTAGCCTCATGGGTTCTTGGTGGAATAACAACAAAAAAATAGTTTCAGTCACTTCCCTCTTGATTAATCCAGGGCATGTTTTCTGTTACCTAAACCTAGTTAAATAATGAAGTATAGGTTTAATACACAGTATGTTCTTACTTAGAAATATTTAGAAAGGATTTTCTATGTTCCAGAACCACATCCCAATTTTAATATTTTATATGTAAATCAATTTTACAGAGTGAATTTCTTTTAAAGCACCGTGTTTTACAAAAACACATGATTTGTATATAAAAGTCATAAAGCATTTCATTTGAAATTGCATTCTATATTTTTCTAGAGATATTCTGTATTTAATTTAAGGTTGTATTTTATGTTTTTCTGAAAACATTCTGGAGTTGTTGTTGAACAGTAATTGCATGGGCAAAATTGAGCTTGGACTTACATTATCTTTTATTTTGGCTTTTTCTTGTGTTTGCCAGTCACGAAAGCTACACTGTCTCTTTCTCTTCTCTAAAGGCAGAATTCTATGTATTTGTCTGGTCTATAGACTGTTTGTCATTTAATTGTAGAATGTGTATCTAGAATTTCCTAGGAAAACGAAGTTCTGTATCAAGGAGTGAACTCAGGATGTAATTAATTTGCTGTAGAGAAAATGTATCTTTGTTTCCAGACAAAATTAGGTGATAGGGCACCCAAAAAGAGTCTTGCTAGAGAAAAGAACATAGGCACTGAGACACAACACTCTTTTCCTCTGCAGTCTTTCTCTCTCACAGATAAAGACAGCTCCTGTCACAGATCATCTCTGTAATTTTATTGATGTCATATCCAATGAAATTTTTAAATATTGTACAGAAATGCCAAAAATGTAACCAACTAAAGAACTGTATTCTATCTGCTTCCATTTGAATATATGAAAATGAGAAATTATAAATAAATTCTGCTTTCTTTTTCACTACAAATCTTGACTGAATCTTAACTAATGGACAAATGACTATTTTCAAGGATACTCTTGAAAAACACTGATCTGAGAATATATTTTCAGTTCTATTCCATGTAGAACCTCAGATTCAAAAAGTCTGAACCTAAACTCATCTTCTTCTCCCTACCTGGCTTTTCTTCTAGTAATTGCTACTTACCAACCCAAGTTAGAAACCTCGATTTATCCCTGACTCCTTATTCTTTGTTGATCTTCAAATTTAATGCATCTATGCATCATTATTTCTTACTGATTTTACTTTTTAATTAGTTCTGCAGTCCATTTAATTCTCTCCATATGAACAGCCATCAACCTAATTGGAACTCTTATCATTTCTCTCTTGGACTACTCTACTCATGTCTGAATTGATTTCCCCTTTCCAGATTTAGTACCCTCAAGTTTATCTTCAATGCAGCCGACAGAATGAGATATTAGATACTTGATAATGCCACTTCTGAATTGAGAATACAACTATGTTCCCTTACTATGTATTACATAACAAACACAAAGCTCTCTCATATTCCTTAAAAGACTTTATGGTATACTACTTACCTTCTTTTCCAGTTTACAAAACTGTGTGTATTTTATTAATCATGCTGGTTGCTCAATCCTCTGTCTCTATCTCCACTAATCCTAGCCCTGATCCATGAACCTAATTTCTTTTTTCTTTTTTTCTTTTTCTTTTTTTTTTTTTTGAGACGGAGTTTCGTTCTTGTTACCCAGGCTGGAGTGCAATGGCACGATCTCGGCTCACCGCAACCTCCGCCTCCTGGGTTCAGGCAATTCTCCTGCCTCAGCCTCCTGAGTAGCTGGGATTACAGGCACGCACCACCATGCCCAGCTAATTTTTTGTATTTTTAGTAGAGAGGGGTTTCACCATGTCGACCAGGATGGTCTAGATCTCTTGACCTCATGATCCACCCACCTCGGCCTCCCAAAGTGCTGCAATTACAGGCTTGAGCCACCGCACCCGGCCTCCCATGAACCTAATTTCTTTTTTTTTTTTTTTTTTTTAATTTTTTATTGGATTATAGGTTTTGGGGTACATGAGCAGAGCATGCAAGACAGTTGCGTAGGTGCACACATGGCAGTGTGCTTTCTTTTCTTCTCCCCTTCACCCACATTTGGCATTTCTCCCCAGGCTATCCCTCCCTACCGCCCCCTCCCACTGGCCCTCCCCTTTTCCCCCCAATAGACCCCAGTGTTTAGTACTCCCCTTTCTGTGTCCATGTGTTCTCATTTTTCATCACCCACCTATGAGTGAGAATATGCGGTGTTTCATTTTCTGTTCTTGTGTCAGTTTGCTGAGGATGATGTTCTCCAGATTCATCCATGTCCCTACAAATGACACAAACTCATCATTTCTGATTGCTGCAAAATATTCCATGGTGTATATGTGCCACATTTTTCCAATCCAGTCTATTATCAATGGGCATTTGGGTTGATTCCAGGTCTTTGCTATTGTAAACAGTGCTGCAATGAACATTCGTGTACATGTGTCCTTATAGTAGAACGATTTATAGTCTTTTGGATATATACCCAGTAATGGGATTGCTGGGTCAAATGGAATTTCTATTTCTAAGGCCTTGAGGAATCGCCACACCGTCTTCCACAATGGTTGAACTAATTTACACTCCCACCAACAGTGTAAAAGTGTTCCTTTTTCTCCACATCCTCTCCAGCATGTTGTCTCCAGATTTTTTAATGATCGCCATTCTAACTGGCGTGAGATGGTATCTCAATGTGGTTTTGATTTGCATCTCTCTGATGATCAGTGACGATGAGCATTTTTTCATATGATTGTTGGCCTCATATATGTCTTCTTTCGTAAAGTATCTGTTCATATCCTTTGCCCACTTTTGAATGGGCTTGTTTGTTTTTTTCCTGTAAATCTGCCATGAACCTAATTTCTAAGCAGACCCTTCAGGCTTCAACTCAGATGTAACCTTTGTTAGGAAGTTTTCTGTCATTCTCACTCACAATCTGAGCTAATGTAAACATCTTCCTCTGGGTTACCAAAATATTTCTTAAATATCTCTAATATTGTATTTTCCACATTTAATTATAATTCTGTTTTGTTTCCCTCATTAGAAGGCTGAAGCTAAAACATTCATCCTTGTGATTTACAGAATGTCTGGCACAAGATAAATGTTCACTCAATGTTGTTTAAATTTAGTCTTTAACAAGTTGTAGAGCTCAGCTGGAAGAATACAAAACCTTAATATATTACTTACAGAGACCTTTTCATCAGTAAACCAGGTGCTGATAATTTCTAAAGTTCACAACTGCTATAAAGATTAAATTTTTTAATAGAAGATAAAGTACAATCTTCATTCTAAATAAGTCTATCCCTCCTTCAGGGCTTCCCGTCTCAGTAAATGGGCCCTCTACTCATTCTACTTCTTCTACTGGGATTTTGATATCAGACTTTATTGTCCTTTTTCCTCCCTCCTCATGCTAAAAGTCATGTAGGTTCTAGCTCAAAAATACACCTGGAATCCTTGTACTTCCTTGTGTTATCTCTACCACTATCCTTGCCTAGGACACCATCTTTGGACACCTTGAGACTTCGGACACTTTGAGAGCATTGTAACTTGCTATTTCTACTCTCATTCTTGTCCCTTTTCAATCTTTCCTTATTGTACCAGCCAGAATAATCTCTTTTTCTCTCTCTTTTTTTTTGGTCAGGGTCTCACTTTGTTACTCAGGCTGAAGTGTGGTGACATGATCTCAGCTCACTGAAACCTCTGCCTCTGGTGCTCAAGTGATTCTTCCAGCTCAGCCTCCTAAGTAAGTGGGACTACAGGCAAGCGCCACCCAACCAGGTAATTTTTTGTGTTTTTGTATTTTTTTGTAGGTACAGCTTTTTGCCATGTTGTCCAGGCTGGTCTCAAACTCCTGGGCTCAAGCGATGCAGCCGTCTTTGCCTCTCAAAGTGCTGGGACTACAGACATGAGCCACCACGCCTACCTCAGATTAATCTCTTAAAGATAAAAATTTTATCATATCTTTTCATTACTTTAGACCTTATAAAGACTGCATTTTCTGGAAGAAAGCCTTTCACTGTGCTGAGTCCTACTGAACCTTCTAGAGTTAAATGTCACAACATCAAGAAGGTCTTGCCTGACTCCCAAGTCTTAATTAGCTTCCTGTTCTATCAGAGCACACTAAATACTTTCTTCTTAATATTTATCACAATTATGATATATTTGTTTTTATCTGCATATTTATGTTTTGACTGTATCACTAAACTATATGTTCTGGGAAAAAAGAGATACTATTTGTCTTGTCACTACTTTATTCTCAAGGGCCCAGTATGATAGCTGGCATATACTAGATTCTAAATATGTATCTGTTAAATAAATGGCTTAACATGCATAGAATAGAGAAAGCACATGATTTATTTATAAAAACGGTTTTTCTTTCATTCTCTTTCTATAAAACACAGTGGAGATAAATAGAATTTTCAGGGAATGGATTTCAGTGAATTCATGGCTAAATATAGGGTAAAGGAGAAATTCTGTCTTTTGTGTCTCAAAGACCTCATGATTTATCAAAAGTTAAATAATTTTATAAAACTATAAATTATTTCACTAAATGAACTGTTATTTAAAAACTAGCTATTTTTCACCAACCATGCAATTAGGAGGCTTAAGGTGACTGTGTATTAGTTTGCTAGGGCTGCCATGACAAAACCACAAACTGAGTGGCACAACAAAAAGGTATTGTGTCTCAGTTCTGGAGACAAGAAGTCAGAAATCAAGGTGTTAGCAGGGTTAGCTCCTTCTGAGAGCTGTGAGGAAGAACTGGTTTCAGGCTTCTCCCCTAGATTTTGGTGATTTGTTAGTAATCATTGGCATTCCTTGGCTTATAGAAGAAGCATCACCATGATCTCTGCCTTGATGTTCATGTGACATTCTCCCTGTATGTATTTCTAGCTTTCTTCTTTTTTGAGGATACTAGTCATACTGGGTTAGTCTACTCTAATGACCTCATTTTATTTGAGTACTTCTGTGAAAACCCTATCTCCAGTAAAGGTCATATTCTGAGTACTTTAGCATGTAAATTTTGAAGTTGATACAATTCAGCCCATTGTATATATAATAAATATAATATAATAAAGTAATATAATAGCAAAAATATGTGTCCATTTATTATTAATTAATATAAAAGTATTTATTGATTACCCACTGTATCCAAAACTCGATGCTAGGATACGGTGGCAAACTGGAGAATCAGGATTCCCATTCTAAGCAAGCTTACTTTCTAATAGGGGAGTGAGACAATGAACAAACAATTGTAAAATTAATAGCTTAATGTATTTATAAAAAATGACAATGCCTTATGTGTCAAGGAGTAGCAATCTAGTCTAGAAAGGCCAGAAAGTTTCTCTATTATAGATAATATTATTGGCTGGGCATGGTGGCCCACGCCTGTAATCCCAGCACTTTGGGAGGCAGGTGGATCACCTTAGGTCAGGAGTTTGAGACCAGCCTGGGCAACATGGTGAAACCCCATCCCTAGTAAAAATGCAAAAAAGTAGTGGGTGTGGTGGTGGGTGTGGTGTGGTGGTGGGTGCCTGTAATCCCAGCTACTTGGGAGGCTGAGCCAGGAGAATCACTTGAACCCAGGAGGGACAGATTTCAGTGAGCCGAGATGGTGCCATTACACGTCAGCCTGGGCAACAAGAGTGAAACTCCATCTCGAAAAATATATCTATATATATAAATAAATATATTTTATTAAATATAATATATATTATCAAATATATATTAAACATAATAATATCATCAAATATATATTAAACATAATATATATCTTATATGTGTTATCAAATATATATTAAATACATTATATAATATAAATATATATTTATATTATAAACAAATATATATTATATAAATATTTACATTTATATTATATATAATAATATATATTATATATATATTTGTATTTAATCTTCATTGATTAACCTATAAACTATTGTAGGATAAAGCCTGTGTTTTAAATTTCTGTGATGCCTCCTGAACCAGCTAATGTAGACTTTAAATAGTCTCCTGAATTACATTTTTCATGAATCACTTAAAAGCAATTAGCATTTGTTAAATCCCTTTTGACTTTCACAATGTTGTATGTTTATTATTTTTATATCTGCTTCATGCAGTTTGTCTCTGTGATTACTTTATTAGGCCTATATTAGAATTTACAATGTATAGTCCCCTCCCCTAGTTGTTTAATGTATATGGGCTTCTTTTTATGGTCCTAGGAAACAAGAAATAGGTCTGTAATAGTTTAGATAGAATTTTCTTTTTATATAATGCAGTATTTTGCTTTAAAAAATTTTACTCCAAAGTTTTTTAATTGATGGACTGGCTAATTAATGAACTTAGCCAGAAAACTGTCACCCATTTCAATGACAGAGGTAGTGACATTTAAATATTTTGTATTAAATATCCTTTTTTTTTTTTTTTTTTTTTGAGACGCAGTTTCTCTCTTGTTACCTAGGCTGGAGTGCAATGGCGTGATCTCGGCTCACCGCAACCTCTGCCTCCTGGGTTCAGGCAATTCTCCTGCCTCAGCCTCCTGAGTATCTTACATTTACGGGTGGTAAAATAAGAATCTTTGTGCTCTGGCAGATAAAGATTTCTGCTTCTTTTTCATTTTCTAGCTGCTGATCGAGTGAATTTCTTTTCCTGTTACGTACTTATGGAAATAATGAAGATGTCTTGAAGCATGAGTACTTTTTGCTCATATGAGACAACTAGGATAAGATTCACTCCAGAACTCCTGATGATTTTCCTCTCCTTCAAATCAGCAAGCAGTGCAGGCTTCTCAAGGGGAAGTATGGGAAACAGAGATAGCAGGTACCCTCTCAAAGAGCAATCCTCTCGGTAAAGATGTGCCAGAACAGAGAAATCAGGAATTCAATTGATACCACTACCCTAAATGCCCATATTATGACCAGTTTTGCAATGAGCAGGTCTTTGATATATATGCTGAGAAAACTATCTTACATTTATATATATTAATAGAGTTACCATAAAGTAACTCCCATGTCTCATATGTGCAAAACACAGCCAAATTGAAAATAAATATTTCTCATATTACTTGCAGCTTAACTCTCTCTTTTTATTTTTATTTTATTTTATTTATTTATTTTTGCGATAGAGTCTTGCTCTGTTGCCCAGGCTGGAGTGCAGTGGCACAACCTCAGCTCACTGCAAGCTCTGCCTCCTAGGTTGAAGGGATTTTTGTGCCTCCGCCTCCTGAGTAGCTAGGACTGCAAGACGGTGCCACCACGCCCAGCAAATTTTTGTATTTTTAGTAGAAACAGGGTTTAGTTATGTTTGCCAGGCTGATCTGGAACACCTGACCTCAAAGTGTTTTAGTAGAAACAGGGCTTTGTTATGTTTGCCAGGCTGGTCTCGAACACCTGACCTCTCGAACCACCTTGGCCTCCTGAAGTGCTGAGATTACAGGTGTGAGCTACCGCACCCGGCCAGATGAACTCTGTTAATAATAATACTATATCATTATTACGTTGCTCGCTGTAGTTGGAACTATAGGTTGTAGCAGTGATTATTAAAATTTCTTGCTAATGGGACAAAAAGAACTAAGGTTTTATTACCAAGGACTGACAAAATAGTTCTGGGATCCACTGACAAAAGAAAACCCATACCCCTACCTAGGACAGGAGGCTGGAAAAAGATCTGGTTGGTAAGCTAGAAGAAGTTTGTTATTCAAATAAGCAGTAAAGGTGAAGCCTGGATGAATTCATTGGTTCAGGAGTCTAAGAGAAATAGAGTACAAGAGTATAACCACATGGGCTTCTGAAGAGACACTAGGCAATGATTAGAAGTAGGTAATATAAAGGTCGAAAGCAAGGGTGCAATGGGTGATAAAGGATCAAGAAAAGGCTAAATTAGAGTAGCTGAACAGGAAGACATGGAATTTCTAAAACTCCAATTATGTTAGATTTTGGCCTGAGGGTAGATGGGATTGGTAGTAACACAATCCACCTCTAATTTTCTCTCCCTAATTAGAAACTAATACAGAAGAAAGAGATAGGGTCACACAAATAGAAATTTAAAATATCACTTTTATGAGGCATTGAGTTCATTGAAGAGTAAGAACAAAGTATGGATCCATGGTCAAATAGGTTTACAAATTCTTTTTCCAAAACAGCAAATGCTGTCCATTGTACGGACAAAGTGCATTTTAGGTACGGACCACTTTTAAAAAGATCCCAAATTGGGCCAGGGCATATGTGCTAGGTTTCTTCTCCCGCCTCATTAGTTAGCTAGGCCATTTGTCCCACAGGAGAAGTAGAGAGAGAAAGGATAAAGCTTGCATGACCTCCTCCAAAGAGAACGCTCCTTTCCTATGGGGTCAGATAGAAAAGGAGGAGGAGAGAATGCTCATAGAACATATTTCTTATGTTGAATTTTTATATAAACAAAATATACCTGTTATTTGCCTATCAATATTCAGTTAGAACTTCAAGGTCGTTAACTACAATAGAATAGGCATTATTTCACTCAGGAAGGGGACTATTTTAAGTTGTTTGCTTTTTCATCATGATTATCCTAATTTTAATAAATTACTTCAATATCAACATTAAATTACCCCAGGAATGTGTTTACTAAAAGCCATAATAAGCTCAGAGTTGCCAAGTTCCAGTGTACTCCTATTTATCAAGTTTCAATAACTGGCCGGGTGTGGTGACTCATGCCTGTAATCCCAGCACTTTGGGAGGCCGAGGCAGGCAGATCACCTGAGGTCAGGAGTTCAAGACCAGCCTGACCAAAACGGTAAAACTCTGTCTCTACTAAAAAAATACAAAATTAGCTGTATGTGGTAGCAAGCACCTGTAATCCCAGTTAGTCAGGAGGCTGAAGCAGAAGAATCACTTGAACCCAGGAGGTGGAGTTGCAGTGAGCTGAGATCATTGCACTCCAGCCTGGATGACAAAGCGAGACTCTGTCTCAAAAAAAAAAGAGTCAATAATTGTATGAATATCTTATAAGGACAGCCTTTTGCACTATATTAACTTTGATTTCTTCTGATAAAAAATAAACTCTAGGTGGTGCATATTTAATAAAGTCTTCTTAGTCTAGATATAATATATGAAAAATATATATTTATTCTTACATATTATGTCCTTAAATATGATGTAGTTTATAGCTTTACAGAACAGTTTTTCAATATATGTTTTGTATTAACTTAAAATCCAAGGACTGGCCCTTCCCATCATCTGCTTCTTCTTCCTAAGGCCTAATTGGCATTGTTCCAGTGTTCTGAACTTCAGCCACGTCTATAAGATGCCAGCCAATGAAGGCAGCAAACACTAATTTGTATCTTGTGGTACAAGCAGTGGATTTATAGAGACTATGGTTTCTGTTATCTGTTCCTAACCATGTCATATGGCTTTATTCAGCTGCCTCTCTAAGTTTATAATATTCACTATAAAAAAAAAACTTAAGTGGTGTAGAACAAGAAGTTCATTTTTAAAGAATACTAAGCAAAAGCAGAAGGCAGTCTGCCTTTCCCAGAAGGTTCCATACACAAAATTTAGTGACTAAGATTAGTTAAGAAAGATTTGGAGATGTGATTCCCCTCAAATGAATTTCCTTCAGTTATAAATATGAAATCAGTGGTTGCTAAGCTGTATGTGACTTTGTGGATGAAGACTTTCAAATCTAGCTGAATTTTGGACAAGATATTCAGTTTCCTATAGTCACTAGATGTTCTCCGTTTGCCTTCCATTCTTACTATCAGGAAAAAAACAATCAATGTAAATGTCAAAGAAAAAGCCCATATATGAATGGGCTCTGTACTTCATTATTTCATATTTGATTTTTCATTTGTTACAATGATGACTATTTTAGTGTCCATATATAATCAGTTAACTCAAATGGATGAGTCTGGTTGAATTAAGGTGATAGTTGAATAGTGTCAATGATTAGCCTAATTTATACACAGGGATAATCTTAAGGATTTAACTCACAGCTGATGGCTCAATATATTTGCTTTTTAAGTTGTCTGACGTTGTTAGCTGTAGGTCAATTCAAAGCTTTCAGTTTCTCCTTAAACAAGTGAATAGTTTCTTTTTATAGATTTTTTTTCATAAAGTATAACAAAAATAAAAATTGTCTCAAGACAAAATAGCCCAAATGCCTCAAGACTATAAACTGATATTTTGATGGAAATTAAGAACACATACTCTCAGTGTTTCACTCTCCAATCCTACAATGCTTTCTGAGAGAAAATATAGTAGCTTATTTCATATAACTAGAAGTGTCACACTATATGATATATAAAGCTTGGAACAAGAGAGTTCATAAAACTCTTTTGGGTGGTTATGAAAATGCAATCCTATTACTGGGTATATACCCAAAGGAATATAAATTGTCCTGTGATAAGACACATGCACACATATGTTCACTGCAGTACTGTTCACAATAGCAAAGCCTAATGAAATCAACCTAAATGCCCATCAATAATAGACTGGATAAAGAAAATGTGATACATGTACACCACGGAATAGCATGTACCCATAAAAAAGAATAAGATCATGTCCTTTTCAGGGATATGGTTTGAGCTGGAGGACATTACACTTAATAAACTAACACAGGAACAGAAAACCAGATACCACAGCTTTTCACTTATAAGTGGGAGCTAAATGATGAGAACACACAGACACATAGAGGGGAACAAAACACACTGGGGCCTATCTGGGACAGAAAGGGTGTGAGGAGAGAGAGGATTAGGAAAAATAACCAGTGGGTGCTAGACTTAATACCTGGGTAATGAAATATTCTCTGAAAAACCCCATAACACAAGTCACCTATGTAACAAACCCACACATGCACCCTTGAACTCAAAAGCTAAAAAATAAAAAAAGAAAAGTGCAGCTCCCTGGCCCCAGAGATTCTGATTTAGCCGTAGGCACTTTAAAAAACTTTTCCAAGAGGTTCTGAGTTTGGACAACGCTATTGCACACAATTAATAAAAATATTAGGTGTGTTCTTACAAATGTGTCTGTTAATGAGCTGTAGGCTTATTTGGCCTCTCAGCATTGAGATTCAAAAATTCCAAATACTGACTGGTGGGTGCCTCATCCACTGTCTCAGGGAATGGCTCTCCTCACCCACTCTGCTGTGTTCAAAGAAAGAACAAGCTGGCTCAGGAGCTCATGTCGCAATTTTATTTTGTTAGACGTTTCTAGCCTCTTTTGTAGAAGACCTTTCTATCCTTTTTTAACTAGAAAATGGTTCATTCTCACCCTGCTTTTCCTCAGGGAGCCAGCGTCTGGTGAGGTGGAATGACAGCTGGGGGCAAGGAAGCACCGGCTCTCTTCACTTTAAGGAGGGGCTGACCTAGGAAAAGGGCTTTCCCACAACTTGACCAGAAAAGTTCATACAAAGGCAAGCCTATCAGACTTACAGCAGATCTCTCAGCAGAAACTCTACAAGCCAGAAGAGAGTGGGGGCCAATATTCAACATCCTCAAAGAACAGAACCTTCAGCCCAGAATTTCATATCCAGCCAAACTAAGCTTCACAACTGAAGGAAAAATAAAATCTTTTATGAACAAGCAAGAACTCAGAGATTTTATTACCACCAGGCCTGCTTTACAAGAGCTTCTGAAAGAAGCATTACACACAGAAAGAAACAACCAGTATTAGCCTTTCTAAAAATATACCAAAAAGTAAAGAGCACCAACATAAAGAAGAATTTACACCAACAAATGGATAAAACAGCCAGTTAACATCAAATGGCAGTAATCCTAAATTTAAATTGACTAAATCCCCCAATCAAAAGACACAGCCAAAACCCAATGGCATGTTACATCCAGACCTGTTTCACATGCAAGGATACACAAAGACTCAAAACAAAGGGATGGAGAAAGATTTACCAACCAAATGGAGAGCAAAAATAAATAATGAATAAATAAAAAGCAGGAATTGCAAGTCTTGTATCGGATAAAATAGATTTTAAAGCAACAAAGATATAGTGGTAAAGGATCAATGCAACAACAAGAGCTAACAATCCTAACACCCAGATACATAGAGACTTAGATTCAATGAGACAGAAAATTAATAAGGATATCAAGGACTCGAACTCAGATCCGGAATAAGTAAATTTAAATATTCATAGAGCTCTCCACTTCAAATACACAAAATATACATTCTTGTCAATACCACATCACACCTACCCATAGGTTTAAATGAAACATTGATTGGCCATTATTAATACCCAATTTTTTTTCAGAATAAAGCAATATTTCCATTTACTCTCCCTCTTTCTCTTCCTCTTTCTTCCTCTCCTATACTTATTTTTTTTTTCTTTCCTTCTCTCAACAAAAAGAAATCAACGTGTAAACCTCTAGATCCAGGTCAGCAATGTCTCTCTCATTGCTTGATTTCCTTCCTTCCCTTTCCTCCCTCCCTCCCTCCCCCCTTCCTCCCTTCCTTCCTTCCTTCATCCCTGCCTTCCTCCCTACCGTCCTCCTTCCCTCCCTTCCTGCCTTCCTCCCAAAAAAAAAAAAAAAAGTTCATAACACAGAAGCCTCTTTTTAAAAGATAGATATTCATCTTCTGGCTTGACAAATACGGATAGTCTAAAAAGTATAACTTGTCACTAAAAATGAGACATGAAAGAAAAACTAATAAGCACCCTAAAGAGATTTCCTCCTGGTCTTCCCATGACAGAAGTTGTTTTCGACTAAATGATAATGAACAGTAAGCAAATAACTCACCTATAAAATGCCGAAACCATTATCCAGGGAAGTACAAATTTCTGTGCTAAAGAAATGTGACTGTTTGCATTTCTTTATCTATCATCTCTAAGAAAACTTCCTTGGGAGCCAAATCTCTTATTTAGTTTATACCAAACAGAAGGGTTTTCCTTGTGGCAGTTAGAAAAGGGGATTGCAGGGAGCAGACAAATTAACCAGAAAATGGATTTGCCCCAGTAGGAAAAGCCACTTATTTTGAGAAGTAGAGATCCACAGGATATTTGTGGATATAAAATGGAAAACTTGGGTTGATCTTTCCTCACATTGTCTAGAAAATCATTAGCTTCATCTCTGATATATGCAATGCTTTTTCTAATCATTTGAAACATAGAAGAGAAAGAACAATGCAAAATTGGCCTCACTTTTCAAAATGGGGAGAAATGTGAGTCCTCTGTAATTACAGAAGTAAGAGAGAACAAATCATGCAGTTCACTTCATTCTTCATCTGGAAAATACTCACATGTCTTTTTAAGGACAAAGCTGCCTCTGGTCCAAATATCTGGTCTTTAAGGCCACAGATTCCTAGAAGAGTAAATGTGCAGCCTGTTGGGCAGCACACTCAGATGCCACATAATAGCTAATGGTGGGCAGAGCCTTGTGTCTGTTCACCCACTAACTTACGTTACCACGGAACCCTGTGTTCTCAAGAGTTCAATTATGTGACTGCCTATAACACAAAGGACTGAACTGATCCTGCTTCTGCTTTGGTGTCCAAACTCTAACTGAGTTGTAGTTTTTCATATTTGTGGCTGTGATGTCCTGACTGTCAGAAAAAGACTTAGACAGACACCACCTGTACCATGTTCTGTACTATATCTCACGTTCTGCTGGTCCAGTCAGTGCCTCCTGAGTGGGGAGGTGAGAGCAGCAAATGGCTCTCTTCAATTAACTCCTTAGGCCAGGTATTAACCTCAAAGTCAAGCTGTGACCATGGAAACACTACACCATTAAGCTAACAGTTCAAGTTAAAACTCCCAGTCTGAGTCACTGAAAAACCCTAATGCAACTAAATGGATAACTTTAAGTGTCTAAAAACTAGATCACTATTTTTATTAGCACGACCTTTAAAAAAGAATGCAATCTTTCTTTAATGTAAAGGGCTATTTAGTATGAGGACTATTTATGGGTCCTGCCCACACATGATGCATGTGTACTTCCTGATAGAAAACAATACAGCCAGGAAACCACGCTGATCTGAGTACTATTGAAGATGCAGGGTAAGGATGTAGCAAATAAACTGCCCTGGGCTGGTGATAAGTACTATGGTGAGTTGGCTTCCTCCACATTAAACCCACCTGGAATTGCGGATGAAGCAATATCGCCTATTTTAGTCTTTGAAAGTTAAGGATTCCAGAGATGGATATGTTATGTTTTGCTAGGGTATTTTTCAGATGTGCAGTTGTGCAATTTTGCTCAGCACTTTACAAATGTGTTAATTTGTCACCGATTGAACACCTGCTGTATGCCAGGTCTGTTATGGGCATTAAAATTAGAAAGTCAAAGAGGAAAACTCTATATGCCCTTGCGGAGCTCACAGTTTAATAAGAGGTTTAGAGATGAATATTGATCACGTTATTATAAGATTTACAAGTCACCAAAGAGGTAAGAGCTGGTAACACAGGAGCCCTTAGCTTGAGAAGACCAGCAGGGAAGGCCTCTGGATTAGGTAACTATACAGTAAGAATTTGCCAGGTAATAAGTGGAGAAAGGGGAGGATATACTTGGCTCAGGGAAGAGCACTGAGAGAGCCTGGAACAGGTAAAGAATTGCAAATACTGTAGTTTAGTTAGACTGAGCAAGAGAATAATACGAAACGAGGTCAGGGAAACAGGCGGGAACCAGATCATGCAAAGGAGTTTGAATTTTATCTTAAGGCAATGGGCAGTCACTGAAGGATCTAATGAAAAGTGACATGATCTGATGGACAGTTTAGAAAGTTCATTCCGGCAGTCTTAGGGAGGATGAATTGAGGGCGATAATCTCAGAGGCAGGACAAGATAGTTAGGAGGTGGGGATAGTTGGAAGAAGAAACGAAAAGGAACTAGAAAAGTTTGTTAGCTCAGCAACAATAGCACATACATGATTGTGTGTGTAATCATGGAGTATGAACAACGTGAAAGTGCAACAAGAATTTGCACAAATTATGTTAATGCACTTTTTAAAGAGATATATTTGTACAATAGACATAAAGTAGTCATTTTCATGCATTTTTTAAACATACCCATTAACCAGTTATTACTGTAGAGGGTTGATTGATGAATTCTTATTGCTATTTCATAAGTTTCCACATAAATCACTCTACCAGAAAGACACATGCACACAACTGTTTATTGCAGCACTACAAACAATAGCAAACACATGGAACCAACCTAAATGCCCATTAATGATATATTGGATAAAGAAAGTGTGGTAGATATATACACCATGGAATACTATGCAGCCATAAGAAAGAATAAGATCATGTCTTTTGTGAGAACATGGATGGAATTAGAGGCAGTTATCCTCAGCAAACTAATACAGGAACAGAAAACTACATACCACATGTTCTTATTTATAAGTAGGAGCTAAATGATGAGAACTTATGAACACAAAGAAGGAAACAACAGACACTGGAGGGGAGGAGGGAGAAGGGCAGAAAAGGTAACTATTGGGTTCAAAGAAAACCCAGTAGTAATATTTGGGTTATTGGTTTAATTCCTGGGTGACAGACTAATCTGTTCAAAAAACCCTGTGACATGAGTTTACCTATGTAACAAACCTGCACATGTATTCCCAAACCTAAAATAAATGGTAAAAAAAATGAGTTTGGCGGATGTTGAATAATTAGAACACATGGACACAGGGAGGGGAGCATCACACACTGCAGTCAGTTGCGGGGAGTTAGGGGAGGGACAGCAGGGGATGAGGAGGATGGGGAGGGATATCGAGGGGAGAAATATCAGATATAGGTGACAGAGGGATGAAGGCAGCAAACCACCTTGCCATATATGTACCTATGCAACAATCCTGCATGATCTGCACATTTACCCCAGAATCTAAAGTATAATTAAAAAAGGAAATTAGAAGTAAAAGTGGGAATTGGACTCCCCAAAACAATGGGAGAAAGGATCTAAGGAGGGTCTTCCTTTACCGACTTGCCTCCTTGGAACCTGGTTTATGAGGCAGGTAGGTACACAGAGAAGAGTAAACCTCAAATCTATGCTTGCTTTTCCATTCAGATTTTTTTACCATCTCTGCTTAAAACTATGCCAGCCAAGTGATTAAATGCTACAAAAATGTCAGTGGCTACACAGACAGGTCATGAGTCATGTTAGGATTAACTGGATTTACCCACAATTTAAAAAGTATTTTAGGTTTGACAGGACTTTGGGGGATTCTCTTATTTGTTAATGAGTGGATAAGGCTAGTAAAATCAGTGATCAAGAGCAATAAGATATCAATGCAAATATTGACTAAAATATTTAGATCACCAGATCCCAGAGTAACAAATCTATTTTTGTACAAAACTAGTCTAGGAAACCAGTCTACTATGTCACACAATTAATAATGAACAAATAAACAAAATACTTTGAGCACTTTATCTGCATCCAGCACAATGTTGTGTGTGTGTGTGTGTGTGTGTGTGTGTGTGTGGTTGTGTATAATTAATCCATGTTTTCTTATTTAAGACATTTACCTTGAGGTAAGCACCCTGTAAAAGTTATGACCATGGTTTATCCAAGATGCTCTGACATCAAATACTAAGCCCTTTCCTCTAACCTGTTCATATTACCTTGCCTGCTGTTTCTAGTAGGCACTTAATTCTTTCTTTCAGGCCGTTGGCTGTCAAGTTGCTGGGTCAGCATCCAAACTCAGGTCTGCCTGCCTACTGAAGCCAAGATTTTAAGCATCACGTTGGAGTACTCAAGAATGTGCTAGAACAGTGCTACTCAAAGTAGCCAGTCCATAACCCGTCACCGATCTCCAAGGAAATGAAAGAACTTGCTCCAGAATATAAATGAACACATTGGTTGCTTACTGGGAAATGTATGCTATTAAAAAAGGAGTGTCAGGTTACTGGTATAGTTGGCTTAGACTCTGGTCAAGCTTCCTGATTACCTTGTTGCAGCCTGTTAGCAAAGGGTTCACAGACAGGAGACACAGGTTCATGGACAGCATTTGACTAGCAACGCACTGGATCACTGTGTGGGTACCAGATTCATCTGACCATATCCCAAGAAACTACAAGCAAAATGTTTCAT